AGTTTATGCTGTTTAATAAATCTAATCTGTAAAACAGGTCACGTAAAAAAAACTAAAAAAACTTTTCTTCTAATTACAGTAAGATTTTATTGAATGCGCATTATACACATAGATCATAATACTTATTTAAAAAAGACTATTAAGATTTTACAGTTCAAGATTTTACAGGCAATGGGAACAGTGGAAGCCTAATGCTTTCTGAGAATCATATCTGCATTAGCAAGATAAAGGACAATTTAGGAAGATTACAAAAGCAATGATTTAGAGTACAACATAAAAATCTGCTGAGAACTAATTCGCAATGCCAGCTGCTGCTAAGCTTCTTAATCTTTATCTAGTTCAATTAAAATCTGAATGTTTGGGATTTCATTAACAACTGGGGACCTGGAAATTACATGCACTTTTACACTGTATTCAACTGCTTATGCACGTTACTGGAAGTTGCCCGAAATATCTTCAGGTAGACTTGAGATATAATTAAAACTTAAGTACTTAAAGGATAATGCAGAGGTAAAAGAGGATTATTTTAAATTTTCTGTCAGATCCAATTGACAAAAAAAGAATCTCGCACGAGTTGAAATGAGTTGCAAACCAGTCAGAATTTTAATGCAGGGGATATTTATGGACGATTGTGCAATCAGATGTGCAGATCAAACAGCCTCATTGGAGGGCGGAGTGAATCGGATATTGTAATTGTGCCCTGTACTGCTTGTGGGGGTTTTTTGTGGAAAAACCACTTCACATCTATCGTTCACTTCTGTACTGATGTAACCACGCTGCTATCAATTAATTATGCATTTCAAAGAATCTGCAAGTAGGCCTTTCTAAAATTAAACTAAGCAAAGTGATGAACAAGCTTTTAATCACTTAATACTGTGTATAAAAAATAGTTTCTTTCCACTAATTCCTCAAGAATAATTCTTCTAAAAGTTTTTCAGAAGTAGTGAAAAGCTTTTTTCTTTTCCCTTCTTCAATGCTTGTCTCCTATTTTCCATGAAAAATTTACCCCTCATTGCCATACCTGCTGATTTAAGGAAGGGAAGTGGAACAGCACTGGGCAGCTCTGTATTTTGAAGATATTTGGATATTTGGTGGTGTACAAGAACACTGACTTTTTTTTTGCCTGTATGATGGAGTAGATGTCATGCTGGCTGTGGATGTCATGCTGCATTTCCAAGGAGAGCTGGGTGCTGATGGAAGTGCCATGGGTATTTATTTATCTATTCATTCATTAGAAGTGGGTGGTGTTCAGACTTTGGGGTTTCACAGGGCTGGGGACAGCACTGTGGGATCTGCTAATTAACCTCTGGATCAAATCCTGAGCTGGTTTGAATTTTCAAACTGGAATGGATTTCTCTTAAATTATTCAGTTCTAATGATCTTAGGTGCCATGATAGGATGTGGAGTTAAAAATATTTCCAGAATCAACGAGGGTGTTAAAGGGTGGTGATGTTCTTCTTGGAAATGTTGAAGAGGTGTAATGCTGCAGGATAATTGGTGCAAGACTTAGAGACAGCCTGGATGTGTTTAAATGGTGCATTTTGTTCAAGTTAATTTTTAAATGGTGTAATGATAAGAAGAAATCATTCAGTAGCAAAATTCCTTTAGACATTTGGGGAGTTGGTGTTAACTTTTGGTTAGTGAAACAAAATGGTTCTGAAAATGGTGCTGTTCTTAGCAAACAAAGAGAGTGAAACTTTGCCTACCTGGCTACTTAATGGTTTTTTTCTTTTCCCTTTAGAAAAAAAAAAAAAATCTTGCTTGGAATCAGTGTGTAGGATTACTGCTATATATAATTTTAAATAGAAAACAAACATTTTTCCCACCTCCCTGCTTCCATCATACTTGTAAATGGAAATGTGTGATCAGGCAACCCAAGGCAAGTGGAGAGCACAGGAAAAGAAAGTGAATTTTGAATTTGGTATAATTTGGCCACAAGGGTAGCTAATGTATTCTGCTGTCCTGTGTCCTACTTGTGCCTAGAAACTTCTTCATTTGCCAGAAAATGGCATGCAGATATCCACTGAAAGCTATTATTCTAAGAACTTAGTATCATGAAGTTGGCATGGTATCGTGTATCATGTTTTTGGCAGGAAAGGAAACTTGCAGAAATTCGTGTAAGGTGATTTCTTGCTCCTGAATATTTGGATTTTGTGTTTTAAATAGTGATGCTTTCTCTTAGTTAATTAGGTGAACTGTGGTTTCAGAATTAAAACCAGGCCTTTTGCATTCCCATTTAAGGACTGAAATAAAGATGTGTAAAGGGTAAGAGTTAAACACTCCTGAAGCATCTGTAGTGTGTCTGGGGCTGTGTGCCTGTTCTGCAAGGGGATCTCTCAGCTGGAGTGCAGTCAGGATTGCAGAGCAGGGAGGGGAAAGCAGGCAGTGCTGAAGGAGTGACCTGGGTGTGGTTTTTGTGTGTGTGGTTTTAGTGAGGAGCTCTGGTGGCTGGGGGTGCCACTGGAGCTCCTGTCACACTGCCCTGGTTTGGGACACCACAGCCAGCAGCAGGGCTGAGCCTTCTGTGCCTTCAGTGAATTGTGATCTCCCTACAACCTTCCACATCTGATTGCTGAACCCAGTCAGATACACAGGGTTTCATCTGCAGAGATCTTAACTCATCTTCTGGGACCGGAGTCCTCAAAAGAGCAGAAAATCTGTCCTTTCCTCTTGACTGTAGAGCACTTTGAGTCTTCAGAGGCATTTCTTTAACTCTAGAGTTCATGATGTGCTCTCAGGATGGATTAGCCATTGTTTAGGTGGCCTGGTATGATGATCTGCACTTGGGCTTTTACTCCTTGGATTTGAGTCCTGTCAGAAATGGAGGGGTTGTTACCAAAAATTAAAGTCAGCTTCCTCCTTTTTTTTCTTCCTTGTAAAGGAAAACTGAAATAAATAAATGAAGGGTATTGATATATCACAAATGGAAACAGTAAATGTGTCACTGGGGAGATGAGTGGGAGTTGAGAGCAAAGATAACTGAGAAGTATCTGTACATTTGGCTTCAGATATTGAAATCTGTGCCACGGATTGATCCTGCAGGAATAATAAATACACATTATCTGTAATTATTCTTGAACTTCATAAACCTTTCTTTAATAACATCCTTTGTATAATCTTTTTTTTCTGAGATCTTTTATTTTTATGACACTGTCAGGCTTTTTAATTTTAACTCTAAGAAAATTGCTCCAGCTGTTACGGATTTTGTCCCACTTCTGTTCTCTGGAGGCTGGGAGTTCCCTTTGGAGAGCTCAGGTAGCAGCTTGGAAGGTTTCTATGTCTGAGATGATTTTTTTACTTTTAAAGAAGATTGCAGGCAGTGAATTTGCAACTTCTATTACAAATACAGTTTTAGGTGTAAAAAAAATAAATTTTAAACTTGCATCCTACAGTTATTTTTTTTTTTATTTAAAAATATGATGTCAGGGAAAATGTTCTTGTTGCATGTGTTGAAATGTGTTCTTTTTTCAGTGGACACAACTGAGTGGTGTTTGAGTTACCAGCCCTCCCATGGTTGCACACTGAGCTGGGATCAGCATGGATATTGAAACTGTTTATTGGGTTTCTTCTGCTGTTATAAGTGTGATCACATTCCATGATGTCCTGAGGTCTTAAAATATCGAGAAACAACAGTAAGCAGAATTTCAAGTTCAGCTTTTCAGAAGAGCAGGAATTAAATACAGGCCAGTGCATTCCTGGTGGTGTGCTGGCCACGTGTTGTGAGCTGGGGATGCAGTTGAGTTTTAAACCAAAATTTGAGAGCACAGTTTTATTTCCTAATAGCAAAAAAACCCCCTCAAACTTCTCTCTTTTCCATCACTCAGGTCTCCCCCCTCCCTAATAAGGTGGGTACCCAGCTGTGGGCTCTAGGCCACATCTGCCCAAGGAAAAGTGGCTGTGCTTCTGGGCACATGAGTTTTAGTGAAAACCTCAAATATTTCACTTATCCAGAAGAAGAGATTTGGTTTTTATGCTAATGCATGTCTCCATATTGCTCTAACTTGTTTAAAAAAAAAAAAAAAAAGAAATTTTAAGTATGAAAAATAAAACCAAACCAAACCAAATTTCTCTGTCCTCTTTTTCTCTTTTATAAAATGAAACTGGAGTGATTCTAAATAAATTCTTAGGAATTTCAGCCCTGGAGTTGATTTTTTTTTCTCTCATACAGTTTTAATTTGAAATTTCGCATTTGCTAATGACACATTTTTACTCTATCTGAAGATTGCCATCTACTGGCATATGAGAGTTTTGGGGTCTGTTATTGTTCATAAATTCGAAAATCCAATAAAGTTTGTTATTTTCTCAGTTGATTTTGTTGATTGCATTATACTTTGCAGGGTAGGGGCAATAGTAGAGGAAACATTAGCAGCATTTACTTGATCTTACCAAGTGCTGTGCAATGTCTGCTTAATTAAAAGCACATTATAATAACATATTGATGCTTCCCACATGAATGAGCTCTCTATTCCTCCAAATTAAGCCATATTTCATATTTCTATCCTATAAGAACAGAAGAGCACATTAATAAAAGTTTAAAAATACTTTTTTTCCTAAGCATTTGAAGTGATTCTAACCTTCTGGCATGGTAACAGTTAGGTAGCTCAGTAAACCACAGGGGGTAGAATTTAATAGTGTAATTCCAAAATTGTGGGAGACACCTCTCCCTCCTCAAGTTAATTTGTAGTTAATCCCGAAATTCTTTAGATTTCTAGCCCCTGATGCCTGCCAGCATTCTCCCTGCTCAGCAGAGCACAAGGATCTCCAGAGGAACTCAATTTTCTCGCCACCAGCTGTGCTGGGGCTGATGCCACCTCCCCCAAGCTCAGAGCACCCCCGGAGCTGTGATCTCTGCTCCGAGGCTGAAAATTGGCAGCACCTGGAACCAGCATCAGTGCCCAGACTGGGGGCAGCTGTGGCATTTTTGGGTTGATGGGTTGCAGGTGTGTGACCTGGCTATAAAGGAGGCTGGGGGGGGCTGGCAGTCAGTGCTTGCTGTGGGAAGCTGAGGATTCAGGCTGTAAATCTGGCTGGGACTCTGAAGCAGGTGAGAATGCCCCCAAGATAATCAGAATTCTCTTTTCTTTGTCTGGCCCTTTGCTATATCTCGATGTTGAGGTGTTCAGTGTGTTGCTTTGTCTGTATTTTACATTTAGATGTTCATTTTCTGCAAGGAAGGAGTTGGGTGCCTCGCATGTGGCTTTGCTTCCCTTCCCAGGGATGGGGGCACCTAAACCTCAGCTTTGAGCTTGTGTCCTGGCCTGCCAGTTGTGACCTGTGTGGAGTTGTAGTTCTGTGAACAAAGGCTTTGTGTGTGTGTAGAGGGGTCTGTGCTGGTTTTTGGTGAAGGTGGGCTGGAGTGATGGGGGTGTTTTGTCTTGTAGTGATGCTGACCACAAAAACATCAACACTGAGCAGGGGAGATGGGAAATGTGGATGTGCTGGTGCTTTTTCAGCTGCTCTGCAGAGTACCTGCCTTGCTCTGGGAAGGTGAGGTGTGGGTAGAACCTGCCTGGCTCTGGGAAAGTGTTTTTTTCTTGGGGGTGAGGTGTGGGGAGCTGTTGCTGTGCTGTAACTACCTGAGCTTAATGGAACTGGAAAGGAAACAGGTGTGTAAACCCTGTGTAACTTGCAGAGATGTTAACTAGAGCTCTCCTGGAGCTGCCTTGACATGCATGCACTGTGGTTGCTGATTGCCTATCTGCTCTTCTGACTTTATTTGTGAATTTGTCACATTTCTGTGTTAGTCATCTTGGTGGTGTTCATCCCTCTTAGTCGTTGTTGTTTCTTTCTTATAGAAGAGGGCTGATCTGCAGAGAAGGATGAAAATAATGGCAAAACAACATGTACATTTACATAAAAACACGTCTTGAGGTTCTTCCGTGTGAACTTCATGAAGGGTTTTTATTTATTCTGGATGTTGTTGGCACTGCACTTTGATTTCTGCTGGATAGAGAGTTGTCAGTTCCACGCTGTAGATACATTTGCTGCTAATTATAAACAGCCTTCTTGGCTCCTAAAGGCAAGCAGCCTTTCCACCATTTGCTCACATAAGCCTGTTTTACAGTTCTTTGGTGTATAAGTATTTGGAGTGTAGAAAAGTGGGGAGATTTATTGAGAGGCCATAAGGCACGAGCCTCCAACCTGCAGCTAAGCTGACTGTGAAGAGAGCTGGATGCAAAGAGTGAGAACAGAAATCTGCTTTATCTGGGTAGATTGAGGCTGTTTCTGGTGTGCACCAGATCCATGCCAAGGTACTCCTGACTGAAGTCTCTTGTGCCCCAGGGTTGTGGCACTGTGAGCCCAGCCATCAAACCAGCTGCTCCCTCTTCCATCTCCCTGCTAAAGTGAAAATTTACCTTGGGTTTTGGGTGTTTTTTACCTCTCATCAGGTAAATATTGAGTTTCTCAGTTTTTCAAGCAGTACCATCTGAGAGGCAAGTGCTGATTCCCCATCCTCTGTAACAATCTCTACCAAGTAAATGTGTGTTTACAGTGGAAAATGGAGCAGCACATTAATGTGATGACTGATTGACATAAAAATGCACTTCTGTGATTGATGAGACAAATGCATGTTGCTCACAAGAGCTCTGAGGAAATGTGGTCTATACCATACTCATTACAGCAGATTTTTTTAGTGTGGGTTTTGAATTTTTTTTATTATAAGCAGTCAATTTACTTCCAATTATAGAATGAGCTGCAGTAGATCTTGCTGTGGTAGTGGTGGTTAATCACAGATCAACAGGCATAAATCATATCAGGCAGGTCTTGGCTATTAAGAGATGAACCATTCATTAACAGAGGCACCTGCACTGTTCTGGTCTCCTCCATGGCACACACAAGTCTCATTTCCCTTAAGGTATTCACAGTGCTGCTATTGGCCTGAAATACATTTCAGTGTCATTAAATGCTCTGTGGACTGAAAATTCCCTTGCCTGTGTGAATTAGAGGAGTAGTTTGAAGTTTCTCTGCTGCAGACTTGTCCCAAAATTCCTGTCAAAATGCAGATCACGAATTATTCAGGCATACACCTCTTCTGTGGATAAGTATATTAAAAGGTGGTAGGATGAGAATGTTAAATATGGAGAGAGACTCTTTAACTTTTTTAATAGTGATAGAATCTTACCCTTGATGTGTCCTGAGCTGAATCTTAGCAAAAACTTCACACAGATTATTTCAAACTTGTCCATTACTGTTGCTCTTATGTTTTTGGTTTTTATTAATTTTTTTTTCTAACAGTTGGAATAATTTTGGATGAGATGAATCCAGTTGTACTAATGTCTGCTGGGTAATTAGTTCTCCTAAACAGTCAGTGCACAAGCACAGTCTTGAATAAATCTCTGGCTGCTGTGTAGTAAGGAGAAGGGTAGAAAAAGGAAAGAAATTCACCTCCTTTTCAGTTGCTTGATTTTATTTTTTTGGGGGGAGTAGTTTTGGGGTGTTGTATTGTTTTTTTGGAGAGGTTCTCTTTATTGAAAAATGCTCCATCTTTTGATAAAACAATTCCCTGTGCTTTCCAAAGGTACTGCAGGCTGCCTTGTGATGATTTAGCAGGATAGTCATGTTGTTGATGGATTCCAATGTTTGTTAGTAAATAAACTTGTTAACAAATGAAATTACACATGAAACTGAATAACTGAAGTATTTTCCCTGATTTGTTCAATGCTGTGCAAAGGGATTGAGCAAATACCTGTTGCAATCTGTGGCAGCCTGAGTCTGAGGGATTTTGGAACAGGATTAAAGCTGTTTACAGCTTTTGGCTGGGTTTATGTACAGGAAGGTGTGCTCACAGGTCTCTGTGTGTTTTTCAGGCCCCTCAGATGTTTGACTGGTGGCTGTGACCTTTAGTAACAAACAGAAAGGTGGGCAAGGGGAGCTGCTTGGTCTCCAGTGCCCAGACTCTCTCACCAATACTTGCAAGAACAGGAGCACTTCTCTCAAAAATAGAAGTTTTCTTGCTGTGTTTTGTTTGCCTCAATAGCTCCTTATCTGTGAGCCCACAAAAAATGAGTCTGTCATGGTTCATTTATGATTTGTGTTTGGGTTTGTGTTGTGGAATGTGGCTCAGATCTGATAATGGGTTCCTCCTCTACCATGGCATCTCTCCCTGGCTACACACTATTACCTCCTTGCTGGGTGGGGATCTTAGGGTTGCCCTGAACACTCTTTTTGTGGGTCTAGAAATCATGTGTATGGCCTTGGGAGGGTTTTGTGCAGTTCTTCAATAAGTAGCAGAGATAATAAAGCTTCCTTACCTCATTGAGGCATTTCATGGATAAATTCATACATCAAATAACCTCGTGGTGCTGCTGTGTTAGACAAAACTGGGAATGTCCAGCTGTGTGTTTAACTCTGTTCTGTGCTTCCTTGGGTGGAAGTTTGTTCAGTGAAAGCATTCTGTACATCTTCTACAGAACAGACATTTCCTACTGTACACACCTGAACAGGTGTGGTTTTAAAAATAAGAAAGATTTGCATGATTCCTTTTAAAATTAGGAGCTACCTTGTATCTTTGTGGTGGGTTATGTAGACTTGTTCCTTTTACTGGTAAAATAAAAAAGTTGATTAACTGCAATATTTATTTTACCAGATGATTCCCATCCCTAAAGCTATAAATTAGTATTTGAACTGTAGCCTGTGCTGACAAAAGGGCATCCTAGGTCATGATTTGATCAATCTGTATTTATGCAATATATTGTTTATTGTATGAGTTTGACCTCATTAGCTGTAGTCCCTTTCCATCTCAGTTGTTATCTGAAGTGTATAATAATGAGGAGAACATCATCCCAATCTCTCAGTGCAATCAGACAAAGAGATTCTGTTGCAGACTCGGGGAAGATTGTGTCCCAGATGGGAACAGCAAATTTAATTACTGACAATGGAATGAGTATGAAATGTTTCTGCACGCACAGTTCTGGACAATGCACTGCTTCAAACCCAGGCAACTTGAGTTCTGCAACATTGGGCTGGGAAGAGTCAGAGGATGGTAATCCCCTAAACTGAGGCTGAGAGTGTGTGTGTGTGACTGGAAAGCTGGGGAAATGCTAATGAATTCATTGAGCCAAGTTGGTGAAATAGCTAAACATCTAAAGAGCAAATATCAAGCACTGATATTTATGTAGAGATAGCACAGAAAAACTGTTTGCCTCGGAAGAGGCCCTGTGAAGACGGTTTTTTTGAACATAGAGCTTTATTTTGGGTGTCTGCCTCACCCTGAGAGCTCACCTTGGTGGTGGTGGTGTGCTTTTTGCTCTGTAGAAAACAAATGTGGGTGTGTAAGGCAGGAGTCACCGAACAAATGCTGCAGATGCAAACCCAAAAATCTTGATTATGCTGCTACTTAAGAGCTGTAGTTGGAGGCCATGTATCCAGGCTACAGCTGCAAAAAAGAACCTGACCAGAAGCTGATTACAGGCTCTAATTCTTCCAGGAGTTGCCGAACAGCTGCCTGTTGGCATCTCCTGCAATCCACGAGATGAATCCCTCGGTGTGCTCGAGGTAACGACCTTCTGGATGCTTTCTAATAAAACAATGAAGAGCTGACTTTATCATCCTTAAAGCAAATTACTTCTGCAAAATGCTTTACAAATACCAAGGGTGCTCTTTAGATAGGGATGTCTTCTATTAAAAAGTCTTGAATATTTTTCTGCCTTTAAGTGGGGAAGCTTTCTCAGGCCAATGAGGTTTGCAGGAGCAGCTCAGAGAGAAAAGGCACTGGTGTTCTTTGAGTGGATCTGTCTACAGGAGCTGTGCCATCAGATTGGTTTGGTTTAAGTTGCCTTAAAGAAGGTGAAATAAATTATGATTTTTATTTTTACTTTGTCTTTTTAAGCTAATTATATTTCTTCCATTTCTGCATAAAAATGGTCTTGGGTAAAGATGTTGTGATAATTCCATCAGTGCCTTCAATGTTTGTGTCTCTGTGTGATGGGAAGATGACAGTGATAGCACTGCAGGACTGGGGTTTGGTGGGATGGAAATAGAGGAATTTCCTCATCAGCTGGAATGCCAGAGCTCCTGTCCTGGGGTGGATTCTGGTTCTGCAGG